TGATAAAGAATAATGTAATCTCTAATAACGAATGCATGATTATAATAATGAACAATTAGCTGGCGCTTCGTGAAGTAAACCACTCGGGGCAGTGAGTATAAATTGAAATGACGAAATGGTATTTTTGGTGTTTTAAAGAATTTATTAAATGCTTATCAACTTTTTAAAAAAAAGAGAAAAGGAAAAATATTTTAAATCCAAAAATTTTCAGTCATAATTTTAACAATTATATTTACACAAAAATGTTATCTCATTCTGTATTTATGTCATAATTCTAAGAATCTAAATAATAAAATTTTTTAAGAATATAATTACTTCAATTATATTTTGAAAAAAAAAAGAAAAATGAAATCTGTACTATAATGAGAATGATCGCTACTGGAAATTCAGAAGCCGTTTGGACAGGAATTCCTCATACACTCTCAGAAATGAGAAAAGAATTTTGGATGCCTGAGGGCAGGACAGAAGTGAAGGGAGTGTTAAATAAATAAAGATGAAGTGCAAGACTATTCCAGTTACCGGTAATGCCTAATCTCTCAGAAACACGAATCAAACGCTCACGAACATTCGAGAATATTGGACTCGATTATTTTTAGATCCTCTTTCTATTAAAACTGAAAAGGGTTTAATAAAAGATGGATGGATGGATAGTTCTATTTATATGCTTTACAACAAGAACCGTACGTTCGGAAGTGGCAGATGATTTATCGGCCGAGAGTTCCATGCATATACTGAAAAGATTCAGTGCACGACGAGAATACCCTAAATTAGTTTTGAGTAACAATGCAAGCCAATTTCAACTAGTCTTCAAGACCATCATAAAATACACTACCAAATTGAGAAACTTCTTGACAGTTAAAGGAATAACCTGGAAAAGTACCACAGCAAGAGCTCCATGGAGTGGAGCAGTGTATGGTAGATTGATTGGCTTAACAAAGAAAGCAATGAGGAGAGTTATTGGGAGAAAATTATTTACCAGAGAAAGAAATAGTGGAAATAGACGTATACTAAACATCCGCCCACTAACATATGTAAATTTCGAAGATTACATGATCATATGTCCAACTGATTTCATTTCATCCCATGTCTCCTTAGTTCCTTAATTTTTTATGATTATGATCGAGAGTTTAACCCCATAGAATGAGTACCCAGGAAAGATTAGTTAAATATTGGCCACATATAAATAAAGCTTTAGATACATTTTGGGAAATATGGAAAGGAGAATATCTAATCAGTTTAAGAAGGCAAATTGAAAGAATACATGTTTCCCAAAAAATTGTGGAAGTAAGAGAACTTCATGAGGATGAAGTTGTACTGGTTAATGAACCAGAAGTATCCCGCGATATGTAGAAGTTAGCAGGGATAAAAGAAATTTAGAGAGGGAAGGATAAATCCCGCATGGGAAAGTGCTTAAGAGAGCAGTAAACACGTATTGTATCCTCTTGAGATTAATGACACTGTGAACTCAACAGTTCAATTATCAAGTCTAAAAGAATTAATACAAAAAACAATTCAAAAAGGACGTCGAGAATCAAAAGTGCGAGAAAGACAACAACAGAATTCAAACTTTTCTCAATGATTTCAATGTTCTTCTGTCGGAAATGTTGGAAAATCCGAAAATTTGTGATATTAAATTATTCACATCAATTGAGATTTTTATCACTGATAGTTAAGCTAAAGAAGCTGCATTTCACCAATTTTGCCTTTGTTAATTTTAATTTTTTATCATATGATCTCTTTGTGTTGCTATAATGTTATTAAGAGATTGCCTTATAACGCCTTTGTTCTTTAACTGTTCTTTGTCTTTTGTGTGAAACAAATGCAGCGAACAGGTAATCAAACAACCTTTGTCCTCATCGCTTCTTCCCCAACGTGACATTGTCTGACCCTGAGGTCATTTATTAAGCCAATTATCTCTATCCTGCTATCGTTCCATATTGGGTATATAAGCAAACAAATATACCAGAAGTAGTTTCTTTTTTTTCATTCATTCATTTCAACGTCGTACGCTTATTCGTCTCTGCTTGCAACTATCATCAAATCAACTGCTAATCATCTCATCTTTTAATACTGAAATTGTTCTGATAAAATTCCGAACACTAAAATAAATCTTTAGCAATAATTTATCTCTGAATCAACAACACTTTTACAACAACAACAACAGCTTCTGGCTTCATATCATTATGCTCATTTTTAAACTCAAAAATATTAAATAAGATTGTTTGACGTGACTCATTTTATGCTTGAAATAGAATTTAATGCAATTCATTTTACAATTTTTGTAGAAAACGGTCACGATACTTTATGGATAAATATTTTGTGGCATACTGATAGATGAGTATATTTAATTTAATCACAAATAATGTATTGATATGTGAAGATAATTTGAAGTAAAACACATTGCGTATGTCGAATTTTTGATATTTAATTATATTGATCAAAATGATAGTAGAATTCAGAATTGTAGATGAATTGATTACAAGTTTACAACAACAATTCGTATGATTCGTCACTACAAACTTCTGGCTCAGGCATATCTCAGTGTATATCAGTTCATAGTGCATCAATTTTCGTAAATCAACGGTTTATTAATTGAAATTTAATCCTAAACAAACAAGATGAATATAAGTAAGAAAATCTAATAAATAACTTATTTATATTATTGATATAAATGAAAACGAATTTTAAAACAAAATATAGAAGGATGATTGTGCGCAACTATTAGAATAGAAGTAAATTCTGTATATTTGGCGTTCGCGAATCAGAAGAAATTTTGATCGTTATCAGAACTACTTGCAGATTAAATATTCATTTCATGCTATTAACAACTGTAAGAATTAAATTCAAATTAAGCAAATAGTAGCAATAATCGATTTACATGAACTGGAGCAATTAATGTAGAATATTTATCTTTCAAATAATCCATAATTCTTGTCGTTTTCAAACGAAAAAAAAAACACGATGAAAATTGTTACAAAATTCAAGATTGATGGCATGAAATTATCTAAAAACAAGAGTGAGAAAAAGAAATGATTACAGATTCAATCGTTGTAATCTATCTATTGCTTTAAATTCTTCAATTGCTTCTTTAATTTCTTCGATGTGTATTGGTGGTGCTGAAAAAAAATTTGGTGATGCTGAAAAAAAAAAATAGTTCGTATTAATTCATTACTGATAAGTAATTCGTTACTTATCAGTAACGAATTAATATGAACTAAATTATAAGCTGATAAGTTTAGACTAGTAAATTATAAATCAATAAAGTTAATATAAGCTAGTAAATTGAAATCTGAATAGATAAAATGAAACTTTATATGCTCACCTGAATTTTCCATTGGATCATTTGAAAATTCCTTATGATCTAGCGGGGATGATACGCTTTTCAGGAGTGGAATCCATGAAACAGTAGACAAATTACGACCCTAAATATAATTGCATTTAGGAAAGTATATTAGAAAGGAAACAATTTTTGAAAAAATCGATCTCGAAAATTCTGAAAATTGCAAAATGTACTTGCAGATAATTAGCATATTGATTTTTCGCATCGTTTGGGAATGCATTGTTGATTTTGATATATGTCTTTTCGTCTATCCTTAAATATAAAATGTTATTAAACACGAATCAAAATTGACTTTTGACTTCTTTAGCGAGTAAAGCGAATTACCTGTAATCATTTAAATGATCTAAGGATGTGAAAAAGTCACATGTTGGTGGCATAATAAGTAACATCGATGTAGCTATTGGACTGTATGCCCAAGATTTGTGGAATGATATCAGCGGTCTGAATAGTATTTCCTGTAAATATACGTGGTAATATACATGGTAAATAAACGTAGTAATGTACGTGATAATATACGTTGGTGTATCTATCAGCTATCGAAGTTTAATAGGAAATTATAAAATGTAACTCCCGAGATATCCTGAGATATCGTGAATATAGTATATAATACGTCGGAAATATATATGCCATTTACTGTTGTCCGAATGAAATCAAAGATGATTTAGCATTAATCGATAATCTATTTCTGATGGTTTACATACTTTTGAAATACTACAGTAATAATTATTCGAGAGTTTTTTAAATGGTTACTTATCGTATGATTTCGAAATTCTTACCAGAAACATACTGCCACCAATATCGTTGCATCGCTTGTTGTATTTTTCCCGCAAGCAATTAACGTAACACGATAATATGCTAGAAAATTATTTTCAGGAAATTCTAAAAAATTTGGAAAAATTGATTCAGCGTTCCAATTTATGCATAAAACATGCTTGATTTTTAATTTAGTAAGTTTTCGTCAACTGGAAATCAAATCAATTAAATTCGTTTATTCGATCAATATGTTTGTTAATTTCTTGCTTTATAAAATTGCTAACTTTTGTTCGACACCTATAACTTATTCCGTTTTCTCATAATTTCAAAAAATATGGTGTAAACATACTTGCAAACATCGCCACTCATTTTATTAAAATACTGCGCATTGATTTTAGCCGGTACTTCAGGTTCCGGTATTGAGAATGGTAAAGTAGAATGAATATAACTGTATAAGAACCATCCAAGTACTCGACGAGTTGCTTTACATTTTTCTTGACATTCTGCAAGATTTGCATATTATGAATTCTGATTCTAACATAATTATGAATCCGCTTTTTTCTTTTTGAGCTATTAACACTTTCCATTAAACAATTCAAATAATAAACGATAAAAATCATACTGTTAATTGATTTCAGATTCAATTAATCTTTATAACTTATGCCAAAGATAATAGACTTACCACGTAAAACTGCTGCGGAATGAAGATCCAAACATTCGAAAATGTACTTGAAAGCTATAATAAAAAGATACATTTAATTTAATAGATTCATGAAATAGAATATAACAAAAAGTAATAGCTTGAATGACCTGAAAATTGATCTATGCAGAAATGTCGGAAACTGTTTAATAGTGATTCAATTCCTGTTTCCTTTGAACACTTTCCGGGCACGTGATTAGTACATTCTATCACTCCACGTAGTCTGCTAAAGTGATAACAAGCAGTAGAATTATATTATTGCATGTAAATATTACTTATGTTTGAATTAAGTACATATAATGAAGAGAAAGATAAAAATGTATATGTTGAGGAAAATGTTACGTGAAATACGTTGGAGCAAAACATACTTGCAAGTGTTGACAAATCGCTCGAAATGATTTCCTGATACCAATGCTGCTCGAATTGCTAGAATGATTGGCTTTGTACATCCTGGAATTTCCAATAAATAGATGAAAAAAGTATTTGAAAGATTTTGAGAATTTCTCGTTACAATGAATACAGTTCGAAAATTTACAGTAACTTACGTAAGCAACGTATAATTTCAGATACTATCGATTTAGGCGCTACTGTTGTGATGTTCAAGGCTTTCCATAGCTCTTTCATTTGTTGATTTAACCAAGCCTTTGATGATCCGCTAGCTGTTATCAATGTTGTTGGTTGTTGATGCTGGAAGAGAATGTCATCTGAATGCAATCCTTCCATGTCTGAAACAAAAAGTATTTATGCTCATATTGAAGTATATAACAATATTCACAAATAATTTAAATATTTTAAAGATTTTGCTAGTTTCGTGCAAAATTCTTCAAAGTATCAGGCAGCAAATTGAATGAAAATTTTTTGTGTCACATTTTGTGAACTGATTGGATGAGACAGTTAAAAAAGTTGGACAACTTTCTAAGCGCAATGACTTCTCGCTTTATAATTTTTTTTTTTTGCTACACCCATTATGGAATTATTTTGAACGTATTAATTTCATAGTTTGTTAAAAATTACCTCCTGCTATGTTTTCATTAAAAAAAAAAAAACCTCTTTAAATCTTCTAATCAATAATTAACTGCAACAAAAGACTGTCCTCCACAATCTAGCTTAAAACTAGCCACATTTAAAAATAGCTCCAAATCATGATTGTATTTTATGAAATGCATAATTTCATTTAAATGATACTAAGCTGAAAATAATGTATAAAATTCACGATGTTAGTGTTTCACACAAATCAATGTAATTTTATCATTGGCTTTTTTTAATAGCCAGGTATTATTAAAAAGACTGTTATGATGTAAAAAATGCGATTTTAAAAACGATTATTTTGCAAAAAACTAACCAGAAATGGCTATTTGATTGAAAAAAATTGAAATAACAAGTAGGAATCGATATAGCACATTCATATTTAATATTGAAATTTTATATTTCTACAAAAATTACAACTCAATGATGGAATTATGAATGTTCTGCCCATATTTTGCCATTGAATTAATATGATAACAAACAAAAATAGCCCAAATAAGCAGGCGAGAAAATAAAGCTGAAAAATTAAAAAAATATTAATGAAAAGAAAAAAGACAATAACGAGCAGGTAATAACGGATGAAATATAATTCGTGATATGATTGGTGTAAAATAATACAGAAGAAAAATGAATGTGATCTAAATTTGACGAGAATCGAGAAGCTTCTTGTATGATCACTGATGCATATTCGTTAGATCAATTTATTATTTCTTTTTTTTTCGATAATGCAGATAGAAATATCCTCAACGGCAAAATACAATTTCTTAGTTCAAGATGAAATTAGTTATTAAAAAACAAAATTTTGAAAGTCATGTTGATATTTTTTCACACACGAATTTAAAATTTCTTATCTGTATCATTTTTAAAAAATGTAAATTTTAGTACAAATATAACTTTATTTAAATTCAATTTTTGCGTCTAAATAATTACTGTTTCATGTTCAATATAAGTGACAACAACGGGTGACAGTGTGTTGTTTGCGAGTATCATTTGAATTTTAATTTTTGCAAATAAAATGGCAAAAAATTGGCAATATTTTGCAATGATTATTTGAGGATGAAGTTTTTGTCCCAAATATCATTTATAAGATATTTTTTCTTAAGAAAAATAAATTAATTATCTCTTCAATTCCGATAATTAATAAATAATGGAATGTTTTTTTTTGCCAATGATTCATTTTTCTAAAAAAAACGAAAATATGTGGAAAAAATTTAAAGCCTTTTTTATTTTTATTCATATTACTAAATCTTACAATGTTTTATTAATTATAAAAAACAGGCAAAATTTATTACATGCATTTAACTTTATTTGATGCGAAACATAATTCTATAAGTCTTTCTGTCATATTAAAGTCAATTTGATTTAATATATATATAATTTGCAATATCATTGCGACTATCAACAGCAATTACAGTTCAGGTATCAAGTCTTGACCTCAATTATATTTTTGCTCATAAAATAGCAATTGGAAGATTCAAAACAGGAATTAGCACTTCCATAACTGAAAAAGTTTGGTTTTTTTTTTTGGTTGATAATCTGAAAGATTATATTTGGAAATTTGTGCTGTTTCAATATTGTCACAATTTTTCAGCTAAATAAAGTTTCTATTTCATAAGGAAGACTGAACTTGTTTATGCGCAATATTATTGATTATTACATTTATACAAGAAATATTACATTTCGTCACCGATTTGCATGCTTGTAAGTAACGTTAAACTTAAAACCAATCGTGATCGTCTGTGAAGACATTCATGGACAATTCAGCGATTTCATGCATATTTTCAATAATATGTGATAAAATGAATACAATTTTGCCGAATTATAGTTCAAAATTTTCCTTTTTTTTTTTGCTTACACATTTTTTTTATACAATTTGATCTTCTAGGCGGATTTCTTCTAATGCCTTTTATGATGAACAATTTGCAAATTTCTTAGAATTCAGATGATTTCACTCCTCAACTGAAAGCATTAACAATGATGTCCGATGACAACTACTACTGTAAAAGCCAAATATTTTTTTAGCAAATTTCAAATTATTCTTCACAGTTTTTAGACATGTGTTTTACATTAACTTTTTTAACTTTCGAAAAGAAAAGCTCTATGTTATTATTTGTAATTGAGTCAAAAATTTTGGCAGTTATTTCTCAATTACATTAAGCATTTAATTCTTTTGAAATTTACTTACGAAGATTTTCTGCTGGTTATTTCAGTAATTGTTTGTCAATACCAGAAACAAAAATATTTCCACCGTGACCAGTGTTATATTCGTTGATTATGCTTATCAGTCCTTTATCTATCCATCTGTTCCTATCCTTTTTGCATAGCTATTTTTGTATTCAATTGAACTGCATCGTACCATGCACTTATAAAACATCCGTTCTGATCTTTGTACCCAACTGGATTGCATTATAAAATATCCCTTTATAAATCATCACGTGTAATGAGTTAATTTTCATTCAGAAGCTCTCTTTCATTCATCTTTATTGCAAATTAATTGCTCGTTTTTTAGTCCTACTAATTTCCTCCAAACATGTCGTGAAAATTTTCTGTAATTAGGAATTTTCTATTATCGAATTTCACAACAATTATAATTGAAAAAGTTTAGATCGAAAGAAGATTAGGATATTGTGAATTAATGATGTCCAAAAATGAATTCTTCGATCACTGATGATTGATTAATAGGGAGTAGCTGAGTTACTTTGTTCCGAGCAAGGAGTACATATATTGATTCCCATTCGATAGCTAAATAGTGTCCAACGTAAGTAACACAATTGATTAAGTATATAGTCATTTAGAATATAATAAATCAATAAAGATTATGTAGGGATATGTGTGATAGGTGATCCGGATAGGGGATAAATCAATATTAGATCATGCAGATTTGACAATGATGTGATGTGATGAAGAGAGAGAAAGAGACGGTGGGAAAGATGGAGATTGTTTGGCTGCATAGATAAAAAGAAAGACAGAGAACACGCAATGGCGGAAAATGTTGATGGGCAATGACTATGAACAATAATTTTCATCAATTATTTCTATATCTTTTTATCATTTTTTATCATAAGAAATATCTGAATCAGAGATTTTTAATTTCTTCGAGATCAACTGCTAATATTTAGTATAGCAAAGTGTCACTGAACACAAATGAAATTTTTTATAATACATGGAAAAACACGATAAAGTGGAGGAAATGCAAAAATAAAAGAAATTTAGATTCTAAAAAATCTGTTTGCTTAGAAAAAAAATCATATTAAATGTGTTTTGTGTGAAATGGATTGTAAACACTTGAAAATTTTGCATATTTTTAGATTTAATTTATAACATTCTTTTTTCAATCGTTGCTCAGTATTATTTGTGGTCAGGTTGAGATAGGTTGTTCCAATCACAAACTAGAAATCAGTTATTTTGCTTAATAATTTTAGCATTATGGTTATTACGCCTGATCATCCAAAAATCGGTTCGTGTTTTTTTATATTTCGATTTGCCTAAAAGGAAGAATGAAGAGAAGGGAATTTGCTTTTTTGTTTCAAAATTATTCAAAAATCAATTATTATATTTTGATTTACTTAGAAAATTGGAGAAAAAAAACTTACTTTCTTTTTTTCCGTCAAAAAACCGCCTACTAAGATTGCATTTCCTTTTTTGTTTAAGTAAAATTAAGTAAAAATGATTAAATTAAGTAAGGGATAACCAAATTCAAACTTCTCGAAAGATCAATTAATACTACTTGTATTCTGTCTTGCTTATCAGTTCTAAATCAAATTTGAATAAAAGCCGTCATAGATGACTGGGAATGTTTACCATTAATCGATTTCGGTATTACACTATTGAATACAATTCCATCGAAACGTCTTAATTTGGCGCATTTGCCAGAGACAGAAGTGGTTTGTGACATTTCAAATTATTTGCTTTTCCTTGTTTTTTTTTTCAAAAATTTGTCATAACATATACGCTCTCAAATTTTAGCAAAATTTGCGCATTACAAATGAAGAATGGAATCTTGCCATTTCACCATTGCAAATTATCCGTGGGTTTGCAGCTTTGTATATATTAGCTGATGGGAAATGCAAAATCCAACTTTCCAATCTGATTTCAAAAGGTATGTGATNTATGAAACTAAAATTTGAGGTAAAATTGGTAAAGATATATTACAAAGATGGTTCTTTATAAAAAAAAGAAAAAATTTACTGAATAATTTGTGAAATTACAAGAATTAAAGAATTATGAAGTATCAATGATAGCATTGATCAAGATTTTATAAAATAAATAAATAATTCGGCAAAAATTTGAAGCAGTGATTTAAGTGCCAACAAATCGAAAGAATTCTGCTGAGAAATTAAGAATTTTTCTTGAAACAATTTGTTCATTTTTACAGTTCTTTTTGGAATGATTGGACCTCTTGGGAAAGCCATACATGAAGTTTTGAATGATCTTTGCACTAATTACTTGAAATCATTATCAAAAGGTGTAATAGAGATATACTTTGAAGAAAATCATTTGCTAAAATTTGATAATAGATTGATGGAATATATCGAAAAGTATTACGGTGCAGAGGTTAGTTAATAATTAGTTCAAGTTGACTCGTACTTTCCGCTTTCATTTCATTATTCC